TGACTACACAAAAGGTTTTTTCTCTCTGGCTTCATTTTTCACCCAGTTTAGTAGAAGCTTCTGTTTATATTCCTTTGGTCTCAGCTGCATGACAGCAGCTTTCAAGATGCTTTATGTGATACCAAATTACTGAGTTTTATACCTGAAGGCAATAATTACAATATACTGGTGTTTGCAGATGTGTTTAGTTGGCTGTTCTCCAAAACAGTTACCAGAATCTTCTGCTGTTGCTGCAACTTGCATGACACATGTTTTCAAACGCTGGTGGCATCTCCATCTCAGTTGTGGCTTAGATACGACGTTCTTACCTGTTTTTATACCTGAAGGCAATAATTACAATATACTGGTGTTTGCAGATGGGTTTAGTTGGCTGTTCTCCAAAACAGTTACCAGAATCTTCTGCTGTTTCTGCAACTTGCAGACACATGTTGTTCTTACCTGTTATTTTGTTTTCTTCATGATTTTTTTTTTTTCTTTTTACCTTTTTTTTGTTTTGAATTTTGTTTTGGTTTGTTTTTTTGTTTGGGATTTGGTTTTTTTTTTTCTTTTCTTAATACATAGTATGTGTGTCAGTTCCTGAACTCCATTTGAGAAGTTAGTTGTAGCTTAGGGTAGTGCGCAATAGTGTTGTTTACACCTCCTCATACTTGGTGTAATGTCCCTGTTGCAGATTAGAGGGACTTGAAGGCTGCAATAGTGACTGGAAACCCTTGAGAGCCATTTCAGCACCTGGAAATTACTGTGGGATGGAACCACTCTGGTAACACCCTTCCTCCTCAGCAGATCAGCTTCGAGAGATTGGTTTCCCTTAGACAGGCTTTGCAACATCTTCAGCAAGATCTGGCCCTGAAAAGCCAGATAGAGAGGGCTCTAGGAGATAATATTGTTTGCCCCTCTGTCTTCTTCCTACCCAATAGCTGAAGTTACTGCTGCATTATTAAATCACGTTACCTATCTTCTGGCATATTTTTCCAGCTTAATTATTTCTTTCTATTTTTACCCTGACTGTTTTTTGAAGAGTCATATCTATAATCCTTAGGTGGAAGAAGTGCTCTTGTACTTTGTGCATTTCTGACAGCCCTCTCCCTACCTGCTAGCTGGGGTAAGCAAGGAAGTATTTGATGCATCGGCGTGGCACCTATCCAGTCCCCCATGCTGAACTCTGAGACGAATAAGGAGTCTGTCTTGCTGAGAATTTAGTGTGGGGATCCATTAAAGCTTTCCGACTATCAAGATGCCGAATTTTGAATTGACACAAGGCTGAGGTAGCAGGCAGAAATGTCCAAGTCTTCAACATGCGAAGAATTTATTTTTTGTCTTCAGAAGACAAGTGCTACACCGACCAATTCAAAATCTGTGATCACTGATTTTAATTTAGTGCCCGTATTTTGAACCCATTACTTACTGTGATGTGTGTGCTGACATATCGTTAAGAGAAGGGGAAGAAAAAGTTTCCAAGAAGTCAAGGAAAGAGACCTACTAGCCGTAAGAAATGTAAGTCCACAGTGGTTCCTCCCCAAGCCATGGTCATTTCAGCAACTCTTAACAATAAAGTAAAACTAGATCAGAGACTAAATGTCAGCTGCTCTTATTAATTACAAAGGATGTAGCAAAACAACATGAGTCAAAAAGTGCCTACAGCTTGAGTTCATGTCTTTCAGAATGCCTGGTGCTTAATAATGTGTGTGTGGGAGACTTGAAAAAAATGGTCCCAACGAAGTGAAAAGCTGTTCATATTTAATTTATTTTCATTAAAACGTTTGACAGAATTTCTTTGTTGTCTTAATACATCTCAGTAGAACTTTTTGTGGACAAACATGATATTGGTGATGGAGAGGGAGAAGTTTAGTAGCTGGCATAAAAATGAGAATATGTAAGTTTTTCTTTTTAGTGGTAGAATTTTTGTGGTAAACTTAAGTACTAAATCTTGGTCCAAAAGAGCATAAAATGTTTTAGAATTGAACGTCACTATCTCACCATTTTCTGCAATGTTATGTAGACCTTTATTCATACTTATATTCATCAAAACATTAGTTGTGCTTCCCAGTTGTTCATATATTTTCCTGCCTATAGAACTGTGCAGTGTTTGTATCCATGGAACATCAAGAACCGTAAGAATTACTTGGAATTTACTAGATGAAGTCATTTGTTGCAGTTCCACTTGGGTTCAGTAGCTTAAAGAGTAGGAGAAGTTTTAAACACTTCCACAAACATGTTTAAGGGGAATACATAGATACATAAATATTTACAGTATATAAACCTTCTTGTAAGACAGAGTTGCATCAAAGAGGCTCCTGTAGTTGTTCCATGCAATGAACTAACAAGGCAGTTAAGAATAGATGCACTAGCTCTCAAATCAAAGTCTGCTTTGATGCCTGCCTAGGAAACAATGCCTAAAAAAAAAATAAAATAATCTTGACATACATAATTTCAGAGAAGAATCCTAGACTTACTCTGTGAGGCTTTTACTAAATAGACTTAAGACCTACCTAGATCCAGACCTTCTCAAAAATCTGAAGCAGCTACTGACCTCGGGGTCACAGCAAACCAAATTGACTGACTCAAATTGTCAGGCATTAGAAACAATAAAAGTCATATTTTGAAAAGTGAAATTGCAACTTTATATGAGTAAGCCTCTTTCTCTCCTTAATGCAGTGGAGCATTTGTTTCAGCTTTCTTAATAGAATTTAAATTCTATACAAAAAATAAGTTTTTAGGTATTTTTATAAACTGCATAGAAAGGTGAACCCACTGGGAAGAGAGGGGACAAGCAGGTTTCCATCCTGCTTGAAAGGAGCAGATGTTCTGCCAATAACACACTATTATATACTAATATTAGTAGTGTGATTCTACATTAAGGTATGGTTGACTTGAGAGACACTGCTCATTTCCCTCTTACGAGCTGTACAACTGTAAATAAAGTTAAGGTTTCATTTGCTGAATGAGGTAAACCAAATCCAAGATACTCACTAGAGTGTGCTGCACTCCTTACAATGCACTTGGTTGACCTTTATGGAAATTGTTGAAATTCTATTTTCCTCTCACTTTTACTGCTTTACAAGGGCCTGCATGTTTACACCCTTCACCACATACACGACCCTTTTTTCTTTCTTTCTTGTCAGAGAATCTCAGCATCAGAGAGAGGGCATGAAGAAGCCTCCCTCTTCTATAGCACATAATTTCAAATGCCTTTTTTATTAAAGTAATCTTTTCCAATTGTCATTGAACTTTCTTCTCCAGTTTGTAAACCCTCTGTATTTTAAATTGCTTTCTAGTACCTATTTTGAATGCGTGTTTATGTAGGTTACATTATTTCAGCTTTTATCTTGGTTGACCTTTATGGAAATTGTTGAAATTCTATTTTCCTCTCACTTTTACTGCTTTACAAGGGCCTGCATGTTTACACCCTTCACCACATACACGACCCTTTTTTCTTTCTTTCTTGTCAGAGAATCTCAGCATCAGAGAGAGGGCATGAGAAGCCTCCCCCCTCTGTATTTTAAATTGCTTTCTAGTACCTATTTTGAATGCGTGTTTATGTAGGTTACATTATTTCAGCTTTTATCTGATTCTGAGATCTGAAAGGTTTCTTTAATTTTTTTTATGCAAGATCATAGGAAATATTCCATTACTAATTATTGGTAAAATAATTGTAATTCTTTTGCTAGCTATTGCTACTATTAATACATGCATTGCTAGCATTGATGATCACAGGCATTTTAGTTTATAACACAGTGCTGCTGATGGAGCTGAAATATACCATTAATTTGTGAAACAGTGATGTTGATCATAGAGTTTTAGTGATCTGCCAGTGGTCCTTAGCTACAGCTGACTAGATGATGCCTGTGTAGGTATATTTCTTTCTTTTCGAAGAGATGCCAAGAGTGGGTTTAAACGTGCAGCAGCTCATTTGTCATCAGAGATTGCTCCTGGGAAGTCCCAAAAGACTCCTTTCCTTTATCTCTCCCTTGTCTCCAGTGGCAGTGTCATGAACAGAAGTGAGTTCCTCTTTCACAATATAAAGAATCAGTCTTTTTTGTCCCTGTGTTCACAGTCAAAGCATATTTTTAGCTCTTCATTTTCTTCTGGAGTTACAGGTACACTTGCTTGCCAAAATGATCCTCTTCATCATCTGTTTAGTCAGATGTTTGTGCCTTTTTCCTGTAGATCTCAACACTTGCCACTAATCTCCCAGCTTTTTAGATTTCTAGATTATTGTCACACTTTGGGATGGAATACGTAGAGATGTTAAATGTATTTGCTGGTACTACCATTTGTTTATCATAAGGGACTGACCTTGTTTGTGGGCTGTGAAGTAGAATAGTGGAAGCCAAGAGCCACTGGAACCTCACAAGGTACAGGACAGTATGACAGATTTGGGTATAAATGTGGTTTTGAGAGAGGAGATGTACTGTGTGAGCAGGGAGTTAAATATGGAGGGGTGGGAGGAGTGCAACATTGAATTAATATGGTTAATGGAACCACCAAACTTGTAAATATTTACAATATAAACTTGAAATCTGTGCCCTCACAGGTTAAATCTTGTATTACGTTTTACTGTATTATTATGAAAAAGTGAATGGAAATTATTTGTGAATTATTATGCTGTTACTTACCTCTTGACTCTTCCAAGAACCTTTTTGTTTTCTGTTCCAGGGTTCCTATCTTTGCCCCTTCTCCAGTGGAAAGTATAGATGTGTGATTATATGATCTAAATGGTTTATTATTCTTCACTGTCAGCACATTAAGTTGTTTATATTCTGCATTCACAACTGCTGTAACAAAGTTCTAAATAATAGACCTTGATAGATGCATTCACTAAGATTCTCTAAATTTATTTAGTTCTGCTAAACATTGTGGAATAACATACTGAACGCTCTGTGGAAGTATTTAAGCGGGATGCTTGAGGTGTGAGCATGGCAGAAGCCATACGTCCAGTGACTCCATGTGATATTTACAAGCTAAGTTGAATTACTTAGCAGTATTTCTTTTTTTCATAGCCTTTCATGTCCCCTCGGTACCCTGGAGGTCCAAGGCCACCTTTAAGAATACCCAATCAGGTAAGATTTTATCACTTATGCACCGTTGTGGTCCAGGGTGATGGTGCAGTGGTGGGAACAGGGAATGTTGTCTTGTTGGCTACCAATGGCTCGTTGGCTACAAAACTCACTCAGTCCCTCTCCACCCCATTTTGTCTGACCATGAAATTAGTTCTTTTGATAAGGTGTGGCCATGCCACTCCCAGCTCACTTTCCTATGCTGAATTAGTGTCTACACCTCAAAATTTACTGTGCGTTAAGCCTGTTGGCAGAGGGAGGATATAGTTGCCTTGTGTGGTGCTGCATTAACCTCAGCTAGCCAACGCTGCCTGCTCTGAGGTGAAGGCAGAATGTCCCCATAACTGTTACACTCTCTAAAGTTTCCTAACCACATGAACCAGTTAGCTCTGAGAATTTTTTTACTTAATTCTACGTAAAATGCACGGCTCCCTCCTATTCTTTGTTGGATATATGAAGTATATTTATCTCATAGTAAATATGGAGATTATTGGTGAGAAACATATCATAAAGTGCTTTATGGCTCTTATAGACACTCTGAGGACTTTATAAAAGCATCGAATTCCCAATTTTCTCTCATCTCCATCAAAGGATATGCATGCCAGTGTAACAAGAATGAGTAATGAGCTGCTGTTCATCAGCAGAGACCTTTATTGGCCCATCTGTGAAAAGATGGTTCTGGAAGCAGATAGCATTTGTATTTTTAAGTTCTCCACAGTGCAGATAGAGGAGGAGAAAGCGGTTGTCAGCAGATGAAAAGTTAAAGATAAGCAGACAGAAAAATATCAGTGGATCTCTGAAAGAAAAACTGTCATTTGCAATCTTGGGAAAGGTTGATAGGATAGATGGAATGGGTGTTTTGGTCCAACTTAAACTTCCAGGACTGCCTTTCTTCTTGTCACAACTTGATGAGGAGACTTTCATGCCCCAAACTCAGTTCTGGCTATTTTTTATATCTGTATAACACAATGTCAACAAACTTGTCTTTAGCACTGGCACAATATTGCCAGAAACTATGAAGTTTAAATTTTAATAAGCTGGATATATCAGGTGGCAAGACTTCTTCAGATATTCCTCTACATCAAACATGGTGATGTTTGGGAGCAGGTTAAGTTACCTGTACCATAGCTACTTTCTCACAAGGGAGATAGGTGACTTAATTAACCTTGCTGAAGTGATCATCAAGGGACAACGTAAGAGTGCAATGTCATTAGCACTTCAGTTAAATACTTGCTACAGACATACTGTAACTCAGTACAAAATATCTTCCTGATTTTTGCACCTTTCAGTAATATCTTAGCCAGAGATACACCAGTGTTTGGGTTTCACATATTCCTTTGTTTCTCTTTCTATGTTTCTGAACACTGTAAATACTGGCAGGTAGAAACTGGATGTGGTGAGTGCTGTGAAAGCACTGCCAACCTGCAGTTTTAGTTTCAGAAGTGGTTTTGTCTGCACATTGTGATACTTTCAGTTCAGAGCTGTAATATAATCACATAATCTTAGTGAATTACAGCTCTTGCTATTCATTTACATTATGCCGCATTCATGAATTACTGCTTTTTACAACACTGCCATTATTTAAGTTACAGTATAGCTGGGCAGTGTGTGGAAGTAATAAACTATTGTAGTGCAGCTCTAAGGCTGAAATTTTGATTAGATGGAAGTCAGTAAAATCAGAGTTAAAATTCCCACTGTAACTATAACTATTCCTTAATGCCTTGCAGTAGGGATTGTGTTTCTTAGGCAAGGAAGGGTAACACAGGGCATGCGTGCACAGCACAGTCCAGTGCTGTGTAAGGGTTATCTGAGCTGGATCTAGGTTTTGTAGCAAGGAAAGTTAATACCTACCAAGTGCCGCACGAGTGCCTCTTAAGTTGCCTCCAGTACTCGATCACATCCTACAAGATCAAGCCCTACAAAGGTATTTGCTGTTGGCAATGCATTGTGCTGTGCAGGTACACTTGTTTTTCTTGAAAAGTGGTATGACGTGTTAGAAAGGAACCACAGATCCTCATGTAATGATCTGCACTGTAATGACTGCGTGAGTTAAGTCTTTGGTCACATGTGCTCACAGCAGCAAATGCCTCCATGTCCTTCCGTGTCACCTGCCATCTCTGCCAGAAGTGACCAGTTCCTGCTTTGCTAGTATTTGACACTTCTTCGTGCACTTAATGTATTGTTCTTATGTATTGCCCAGACTTCAAGCCACTGAAGTACATGTAAAACTCTGATTTAAATGATGTCGCCTCAGATTATTTGTTTATTCCATTAATCTTGCAGTTCAGTAACTTTTGACTGTATTACCTTTGAAGTAATAACGTGCATCTTAATTTTGAATTTCCTACCTCTTGTGGAAACAAACTGTATAATACTTGCAGATAGGTTCCCCTTTGTATGTATTCAAGACTACTACAGTATTTCCAGGTCGAGTAACTTATCCATTCCCACAGTAAGCAATACCTGTGTTGCCTGAGTAGATTACTTTCATAGAAACAGATTTACTCACTCTGGATAAATTTTTACTGAAAACGTGGTGTTGTTTTGAAATGCTAGTGGATCAGCTACAAAGATCCATTCATAAAAACATTTTTCTAGTTGACTAAACTATAGGTAAGAGACTGTAGAAATTAGCCTTACACCTAATTCACTTTCTATAAACCCAAAGGGCAGATTAAAATGTGGGGACATAAAAGCAATGCGTTTGATTTGGACCAGAGGTGAAGTAACAACACTATGTACCTTCATGCTCGAAGGCAAGATTTAGGAGCAAGTTTTGTGATTGTTGTTATCTCCTGTAGATGAATAATAAGCTTATCTTGGCATTGATGCCCTTCAAGAGTAAGGCAGAGTGGAAGATAAAATGTCCCCCACATCACAGCCCTAATTATCCATATCCTGTGAATGCTGTATGGTTGGCTCAGTTACGGCTCACTCTCAGAGAATATCAGTGTCTGCATCTTGACCTCTGAAAGCAACTGTTAAAATAACGGTTAAAAGGGAAAACTGTAGCAATACAAGCTTTGGATAAATTGCCACCCAAATTACCCAAGAAAAAGGCAGTGTTTGGAGGTTAAATAATAGGTAAGCTAAAGTGAAGGAAGTATTGTGGGGGGGAAGGCAAATTAGGTGATTATATTTTGGAGATTATTTATACATAATTCCACAGAAGTCCAAGAGTTTGTCCATGCAAATCCATAGTCAGGGTGGTAGGACATTCAGGACTTTCAGTTTAGTTAGGCACTTAGGACATTTAGTTAGGGCATTTAGGAAAGTTAACTCTTCCACATTACTGTTGTCTCAGAAGAAACATCCGGGAATTAAAAACAAAATATCTGCATTATGTCTTTAACATAAATTTCAAAGCATTATATGCTTTTAACATACGGTTTCTATGCCTGCAGGCACTCGGAGGTGTCCCAGGAAGTCAGCCATTATTGCCTAGCGGGATGGACCCAACACGGCAGCAAGGTGAATGAAATAATTATTTGGACCATCAAAAGCACTGTCTTCTCAAACTCGCGTCTTCCTTTCTGTGTTTCAAAGCTTACTACAGCTTTTTAAGCTTTTTGTTAATTAAAAAGGAATGATTTGTTAAAGTTGTTTTAGAAGGTGCTTGTGTATTGCAGTTTTTAAAGTTACATAATTTTATTTGCAGGACATCCAAACATGGGTGGGCCAATGCAGAGAATGACTCCTCCAAGAGGAATGGTTCCGTTAGGACCACAGGTACCTTCCACAGATAGATACCCATTTTTATTGATAGGCCTATACTTATACTATATTACTCTGGCTTTCCATAGCTTGAAGATGGCCAGGACTTGTTCTTTTAATCCCATTTTAAAATAAACTTTCTGTTTTACAAAAATTATTTCTGAGTTGCAGCTGTGCAAAGTCTAAAATGAAAACATCAGTCATTGTAATTAAGATTTGAAATTAAAAGAGGAATCCCTTAACTTGCTTATTTCAGAAAAGTTATGTTTGTCCTACAGCCAGTGTATGTTGTAATAAAAGGCTGACATTTGTAAAGGAGATCAAGGATCGAATAGATGTTTCCTCATTCTCCCAACCTAATTGACTATGCTGCTCAGGAGGAAAGGATTAATACTTCTAACTTAGGCAAACTCTTTGTACCAAAAATACCCCCCAAAATTCTGTAAAATTTTTCTTTCATCCACTATTGATCTAGATTCTTGGTGAGTGCTAGAGAGATTTTAATGTAAAATGAGAAGTTCATGCTGCCATTTCTCCCCCTTGTCAATCACAAGCATCTGCCTAGCTCTGTTTTTGATGAGCGAAGCAACCTTGGATTGCAAGAATCAGCCTTCTCCATGGTCCTGACCTGGTCATAATTGTTCATAGGCTCTTTCTTCAAAAGTATGAAAATACGAGTGGATATTTGTCAGTCTCACCTTTCAACAGTAAACTAAGGCAGAAAACAAATTAATTCTGATGCATACCTGAAATATGAATCCAAAAGATTCTGTATTTTGTCAGTGCTCTCAGTGAGAGAAAATTTAGGTCGTGGTGGTTCATACCGGTGTTGCCAGTATTTTGTTTTATGGTGTGCTTATTGGGGCCACACTTTGCATTGTTACTTCCCCATTTCAGATAATCTCTCCAGTGACTTCTTTGTTCCTTGGAATAGCAACTGAATTTTAAATTATTAAATAGCTTTGCCTTTCAAATCTGTTCATAACTGTCTTTAAAATTTTGGATCTTCTTGGTAGAAACCAGTTGTGCAGTTCTATGCAACATCTGCTGTGTGACCAACAAACCATTTGTAAATACCTTTGTTATTTTTTCTGTAGCATTGAAGTATATTTACCATTTGCCTTTTGGAGGTAGAAAGAAAAGCTTTGCAATGCTGCTATATGAGATTGAACTGATACTTTATGCAGCACCATTAGTCACACAGCAGGCAAATCTCATGCCAGTTTTTATAAGGATAATTTTTCTGTTTTTGCTGTCTCTTTAAAATCCAGTGTTTTTGTAAGGTTCTTCTTTCTTGTACTGAACATCCTCTTAAAATGGGGAAAAACGTAGCTAATCTACACAAAATTTAAGTTCAGAAATAAATCTTTTCTATAAATGGATCATTATCTATCTTTGTATCTGGCATTTAGGATCTTCTCAGAATGCAGTTCTAAAACCAAGTTTGGTGAATCTTTCACACCTACTTTTAATGTCCTCTTGCTACAGTGCTGTAAAGTTGACTTAGGTGTGCCCATAGTGGGAGGCCCTGCTACCTTGCTGCACAATCAACTTGCAAAACACTTAATAGAATGCAGTTCTAAAACCAAGTTTGGTGAATCTTTCACACCTACTTTTAATGTCCTCTTGCTACAGTGCTGTAAAGTTGACTTAGGTGTGCCCATAGTGGGAGGCCCTGCTACCTTGCTGCACAGACAATCAACTTGCAAAACACTTAATGTGCTGATAAAGAAATGCTTATGTCCAGTGTAGCAAGTATAGCATGCATATGCTTGAAAACTTACAGAAAATTTACCTCAGTTTTGTATTTTATGATTCTAGACTGTTTCAAACTAAATAACATGAAGCAAAAAGCAGTGGATGGTTGTAAATGCTTGAATCTGTGAAAAGCTCCAAAGAATTAGGTTCAGGCTTTTTTCAAGCTGTAGTTGTGCTAGATGAATGGGGTACTACCTCCAGTGTGTTGACCGCTACTTCTCCCCATCCTTCATATCTGCTGGTGAGCCTCCCACGTGCTCCCTAATGCTTTCTAGTCAAAAAGAATCAGGTCATCTTAAATATTTAAGAAAAAAGCCTTGGCTAATCTGGCTTATTTTGTCCACCTGATGTTAGGGAGCACTTTTATGAACAACTCAGCTACCAGATAAACAGTGGTGGTGGTGACTTTGAGTGAAAAGCTGTAAGGAACAAATTGGGGCACTAACTTCTGCAGAGAGCATAGCTGCAGCTGAAGGAACGTGTATATTGGTAGCCTTAATGAAAGCGCTCCTATTTTAGGATGAAGGAGTACATTTGATTAGAATTAGCAGTAATTAGAAGTACATTTGATTAGGATTCTTCCAGTCCTGCAGGATTCCACAGAGATCTTTAACCCTGGTCCACACAGTTGATTCCTGAATTAAAGTAAAGAGGGGAAATACCAGACAGACCAAATAGGGAGAATGGCTCAGCCCTCCACACCAAGATGGAAAAATGAAATAAAACAGATACGGAACTGCTGTTCTGTTACAGTCAGAATGTGTTCTCTTCCAGATCCAGTAGTGCCAGCTGGGGATGTTACTGTCCCCAGCTGCTTTGACTATCCACCAGTTACTGCCGTACAGTTCTGACAGAGGAGTTGCTCAGGCAAAATCATCTAGGATAACCTAGGTTAAACAGGTTTGAGTTAATCTGGCTGACTTTTGCCTGAGCATGTGCACCAATTGGTCCACCGGCTGCCCACAAAAAGGCAAGAATGAGTAGTGATTGATGACCAGCAGCTGTGGATAATACTATCTTCAGGTGGCACTGTTGGGTCTGGAAGAGGACATATGTTTGCAGCCTCTGGTTGTATTCTTGCAAACCAGCTATCGATGGGACACTTTTAGGATTATTAACAATGAAGAAAATTTTAAGTTTGGGGGTTTTGTTTGCAGCAACAGAACCTCCTCTCCTAGCTATAGATCAGTTCTAGATCAGTTCTAGATAACTGATATGTCATATCAGTCAAGGTATAAACAGCACCAGATCCACACTTTGAATATCACTATTGGATTTCTCCCATGTATTCATGACTTCATGTTTATATGGTTTTGTGAATCAGACCAGTATAGAGAACATCCATAAGCCGGAGTCGTACAGTTTATGCAGTCTGTAGTATACTATACATGAAATAGACTGTATTAGTTTTATTATTGGAAAATAGACTGCAACAATGACCTAAATTTTTTTAAAGTAAATCACTTCTTTATCCCTCCCCCTCCTTCCAAAATGCACAGCTGTTCATTTTAGAGAAATTACTATTACCCATTCTTTTGAAATATCAGAAAAATGTAGTAGGATTAACACAGATTAGGGAGTGCATTATGATTGTGAGGTGAGATAGACTGTTCTGGTTGTATTCCTCTGAATAAAAATAGGTAATGATTTAGTTACTCATGTAAATAGTACAGTTAAACGTAATATCAGAGCAGAAACTCAGATTTTATAGGCATCGGGCAATTCATTTGTTGGCATCGCTATGACATTCATTATCATATTAAATACTTTTCGTATTAGTTACCCTAGACTTATTAGAATTGACTGATTAGAAGAGAAATCTGATGGTCATGCTGTATATTATAAAAGTGATATCATATGGTGTAATTTTATACAAGCATTTATTGATATCCTAACAAAATCTAATGAAAAATAATTCAATTTCATGATGTAGAAATCTTAGAATCTAAGTCCAGGTTTCTGACTGTGAATGAGCTCCCTCGGTATAAAAGTTGAATACATTATAAAACCTGCCCCTTGCTGACTGTTGACTTGACCTCTATATGTGTGAATAATTCCTCCTGAAACAATCGACATTTTAAGTATTCTTAGTCTATTCCTGTTGTTTGAAATTCTTTCTCCTTGGGGTTAACAGTATTATTTTTTTAAGTCAACAATGGAAACTCCTGAAAGAATGAATTACATTGGCCTATCCAGTCAGCAGTTATGTAGGGATATCATTAACCTGCTGTCCTCTCTTTCCCCCTCCTCTTTGGTTTTGTTTTTTTGTTTTGTGGTAGTCTGACCCTTGGTTATCATTGCAGAACTATGGAGGTGCAATGAGACCCCCACTGAATGCTTTAGGTGGCCCGGGAATGCCTGGAATGAACATGTAAGCACAATAATAAAATCTTATAATATTTAGAAAAATCATTATTTCTTTGTAGAAGTAACATTTGGGATACATAAGACAAGGAGAACATGCTTTGATAAGTAACATGCTTTGATGATTAATAACTGCAATTTAAAAAAGTGAACCCACAGCAGTTTCCTCCTTCTGCATGCATCTCTTACAGGCGCCTTTGCTGTCCCTACAAGTCTGTACAAATACTCAGTTTCTTTCACAGGTCAAAATTTAAATATTGGGAATATTTTGTCAGTATAGTCACCAATATATCCTTGTATGTATTTTTAAAAAAAATGACATTATTTACATTTATGTTTTTACTTTACTGATTAAATATTTTGTAAAGAATGGTGCAAGTATGGTTCTTTTCTGCAACATAAAGAAGTACATAATTTTAGCAAAATAAAACCATTGTCTAGAACTATTTATAAAAAAAGACATCTTTGAAAGAAGTGTGGATGATTTTCTCTCTGTTGCTGTTTTTATTTCCATAACTACATTTATTTCCACTCTGAACAGATAGAAGAGTATTACAGATATGAGTGTAAGGTTTTCAGTGTTTCTATGTACTTCTGGGACTGGATCATCATTTGGTAAAAATTGATATAGACTGAGTTCAGTTAAGCTATACCAATTTATTCCAGGCATGGATTTAGTCACAGGAGTGTATGATGTCTTTTATACCTGTAGACAACCCCCCTTTCTAAGTGTGTAGAAAAATTTCAGATGTAAAATTAGTCTATCTAGAGTAGACTAGATTTAAGCTGAAGATTTTAGCATAGCACGTGGCCCAGCATGAGCAATCTTCTGCACTTTAGAGAAATCTTTTGCTTGCTTGGAGTTGCTTACATGATTAGCAAGCCTGGGGGAAAAAAAAGGTGCTTCTTGTATTATTTAGATTTCTCTCTTAAGAGATTCACAAATTTTAAGGGGCTGCTATAGTTACCTTTAGCATACCACAGACCAGAGATTATCAAGTCATTCTTGTATCATGGCCCTACCTCTACTGAAGTTAGTACATGTTCTTTTCTTACTCCTTATACACCTTTGTCTTTCAAGAATGAATTTTCAGCAGATTGACACAGAAAACACAGTGAAGATTTATATATGCTTGTTATCATTATACCCATTTTTACTCTTATTTTTATGGGAGACATAAATGAGAGATGATAATTTTCATTTCAAGTAGAGAGTAACCAACCTGAAAAAGTAAAAAAGATATTGAGATCGATAATACTGTTAAAAAAAAAAAATCTAATCCACCATATCCTTAATTTCTTCTGATTTCCAGACATACCTTGAATTCTTGAAGCAAATAAAATAAAATCTAAAGTTGGGTGTTACTCTATCATAGACATCATATATTGGACGCAAGACAATTCTAGGAACCTTCCCAAGGGTAGGCATTTCTTCTTTTAAATAAAATTGATGTAGAAAAAATATTTAGATATTTGAAATTCAGTGTGAATATAATATAAACACTACAGAGATTGTCCTCAGGAGGAGATTGAATTATAAGAAAAGAAAATTAACTTTCTAAAATAAAACATTGTAGAAGTAAAATTAAGGATAGGTAAGATATTTTGAGGCTACTTATCCACATAAATGAGAGTTTATATAGGAAAAATAAGAAAACACGTTCCTGGATGACAAAAAGAATTCCTGGTCTGCCAGGAAGAGAGAAGATGGATCGAAATACTAACATTTCCAAATTGCAGCATTTAATAACCACATTTCATCTTGCGTTCAGCCAGTAAACATACATAGATGATGTTCTTTTAATTCAGTGATGTGGGAAGTACATTTTCCTTTGAACTTGTATGTCCTCTTGAAGGGGACACCATGAATTGGAGTCCTTTACTTGGGAAATTCATGAACTTTGATACAGTATAGATCTTCTGAGAAGAACAAGATCTGAAGCGATGATTATGAAGTAGGTAACCATAGCTGTCTCCATGTCTTACCAGGCATATACTGCACTCCTTTACATTTCATAACAAACTCATCTTTACTCCAGCTCAGCTGAAAGTGGGAACAGAATACTCTTTCTTGGTTTTGAACAAGACTTCATACTGTCCCTTTGCTTATTACAATGCACTTTAAAGGCATAAGAGAGTCCAAAGTGCTAGTACTGGAATATTATGCTATAGCGTATCCTGACCTGTGTTACAGGCTGAATCACAGACCGTTGTAAGGAGCTCCGTTATTGCATGCCTGACTACATGAATAATTTTTTTACCATGAAGATGAGTATTTTTTTCCCCCTCTGTCAAATGGAGTGACATATACTGATTGAAAGGAAAACAAATGGGTGACTATGGTCTGGGTTTCTTTTAATTGTATTTCCAGGACATCAGGGTTTTTTCTTACTGTAAAGTTACTGCTGTCAAAATTGTCCTTACACTGAAATCTTAGTGAAGACTCGTCTGGTCAATTCCAGCATTCAGGATCAGTCAGAGTGCATCCAAGGATAACCTGAGGGCAGTGGCAATAGATAGACCCAACTGTGTTAAATGCGTTCTTTGTATTATCCCTTACAGTTTATCTAATGCACAGTGCTAAGAAATAACAGTGTAAGCCATTTAGTATACTTACATTTCTAGGAAACCACGTAACTCTACATAAGACTATTGCCTTATAGTAACGTACATTTGTCTTTACATAGCCATATCCTTTTCTTACATGAAAATTTTTCAGTGTTCTATTCAATGTTTTTGGATTTTTGGCAATGTTAAAATACAAAAATCTGTACTCTACAAAAACAGTTGCCATTTAAAATCCAGCTTTTTCTCCTCGGAAAGCGCAAAAGGAAGCTGTTGTGGTTAAGAGCAGAATATCTGCCAAATACAATTTTACATTTTTCTGCATGAAAAAGTGTTCTTTATTGTCAAAAATGGCAACAACCAGCTTGAGAGCCCGTAGACAGTATTTCAGTCCCGGAGCAAATACTCCAAAAATGTAATACTGCTAAATAATTGCTTGTTCCATTATAACTATTGCCTATCAGATTACTGTTTGAAACAGCTGATACATATCCTATGGTCTTCTACAAAATAACTATTTTAGCTATAAGGTTTTAAGTTGAAACTTGATGTAGCCATTTTTAGTAAGATTTTATTTCTTTGTGGAAAAATGTCCTCTTTGGAACAAAATGGGAAACTTCAGGGAGCAGTGTTACGTTTCACTGGCACTTTTTAATGGCCCTTGTGACCTGCAGTGCTGTCTCAAGCGCTAAGAATATCTCAGTCATGCCTGAAAAGAAAAAAAATGCATTTTTGTTTTTTAACTTCAATTCACAAACTTGTGTCTAGATGTTTAATTTCCTGATTGAATATATTTGCCCCTTGGGAAACTGAACTTTTAGACTTTATTTTTTCAAGTACTAGGATCAACGCTATAGGACTAACTTTAAGGATAAAATGGAGCTGTAATTAGTCATAGTGATAGATACTTCATAAATTACTCTATTTTGGGATTGGTACATTCATAATAATGTTTTTTGACTCTGTTGATGCTTCCAAAATAAACATTTAATAAAGGGCAAAAAACCTACTTGCATTGCATTGAAAAAAATTGCAGGTAGCTTTTTTTCATGTGTGCTTTATAAGCTAACAACATTTGGCTCCACAAAAACCATATGGCTTTCCAGCAGAATCTGCTACAGTGTTTTCTAAGTCTATACTTAGAGCTGTCCATGGCTTCCAGTAAATTGGCGAATTCCAACAGCTTTTTAGATGAAAGGTGAGTTTCCCAGTCTCCTCGTAAGGCCTGTCTAAATTTCCATGTTGCTGTGGCTTAACCCAATCATGTATCTGAGTCGGCTTTTTAATATCTCTGTAGTTCAGAGTAATCTGCAGTGTCGTCACAGCTACTTTCCATTTGATGCTTTTTGCTAGATATATTTGTGATACTTAATGATGTCACGCAAACAAGTGCTGGGGTTTGGGGTGAAAACAGACTTCCAGTGTTGTTACAAATATTCCTGATTTCTCTGAAAAAGAGGATCCAATAAACCAAATATGGTACATAGAAAAAAGAACAACTTTTTGGAGAAAAAAAAAAAAAAAGAACACCTAATATTTCATCTCTTAATCATTAGCAGAGGAGAAATTACTGAATATTTGACCTGAGGAGCATGAGTATTGTGAGTCCCTTTCCTTGCTGTTCCTCCCTCCTCCCAATGAATAAGGCAGAAAAGACCCTCACCTACATTCCTGTTTTCCAACCTTCCAAAAATAACGTCAGCAGAAATAAATCAATTTTTGCTTGATTTATTTCAGTTGATTGTTTGAGCTAATTTCTTTATAGTTTGATTGACAAGGTAATAAAAAAAAAAAAAGATTCAATATTAAATCCCTTGGTTAATATATCTACTTAGTAGTTTTTAGTTTTGGAAGACTTTAAAATAGATAGAAAACTTCCTGAACTCATTAATAAAGCCTGCTTTCTTCTTTATATTTTAATCACTCTCCCATGTCTGGTAAGCTGTGGTGGCTAATGTTGCTTTTCTAAAGCTAATGAGGCCAAAATGCCATTTTAAAAGCAAAAGTTTTGTCATCTGCTCTGCCTCTCAGTTGTCAGGGCCTTCAAAAAGTGATTTTGTCTTATTTATAAATAACTAGGAGTTCTTAATGCTCCCAGGAATAATTATGGTTATTGAGATATTATGACTGTAAACATGGAGATTTTACCTCCCATATGGCTTAGTTCCCTCAGGACTGTTAAAAGATGAAGCCTAACCACCAAACTATTTTTCTGAGCTCAGCTAAGAATGAGAAACTTAAAATAACAGCAAGAGTTGTGAGAAAAATGTGCTCTGTCTGGATGGTTTTTCCTTTTTTCCTTTCCCCATTCCCTTCTGCTTTTAGTACCCCTCTGATGTCTCGTTGGAGTTGGCTTTATCAAACAGGTCTTCTGCCTGTGAAACACTCTTGTCCCTCCTGCTGGGGAGCTGCCGCTTAATCATGCATACACCATTTGGGCCAAGTGTAATGAGAATGTCTGAAAAGTTTCAAATTTCCACTTTGCCTGCTGTTATGATAAATTTCATGTTTCTGTGACTTCTGTGGAGATAATGTAGCCTTAGTCAAGTAGCAGACTGTTTTTAGATACATATCTAAATGTATGTTTAAAGTGTATGTATAAAATGGCATTTTCAATTTTTAATACATGAGATTTATTATTGTTATTATTATCAGATACAGGTTATAGCAACATATTTTCTGTGGCTTGTTCTTTTAAAAAATAGGTTTTCCCAAAATATTTATAAGGTACTAGCATCACTTTCACTATTGAAACCTTACTACACTTGCAGTATTCTAAATCCATACTCAATAAATACATGCATCCTCAATTCTTCAGGATGGTACTTAATTATGTAAGCAAGAGTACTGTTTCTGTGACTGAAATTACACTTATATTTCAGTACCTTTCTTCCTTTGTCTGTACTGTAAGTACACTTTTGTGGAATGTGTGATACTTCCTCCAAATATTTTAAGAAAGGTTAACAGAGTACAAGGAAAAGCACTCCTTGTGAGAACTTAAAGAATTTGGGAACTTGTTTTTTACTCTTTGCAAAACTTCTGTGCCACATTAAAATGTTGCATCTATGTAACACAGAGTTAAATTCTCCATGATCAGAAGGAAAGCACTTCAAGAGACACAAATTTGCAATGTCTTTCAAATTGTTCCATTGAGAATATAAAAGGGGAATGTCTGGCACTTCCTAAATTTGCAAGTGTTTGGGACCGGTGCAAAACTGTGGCATCTCCACTGTAGCCTCTGGCAGTGTGGCGACTGGGGAAGGACTCCTTATGGTGCCATTCTGGCAGGTCATGTCTTGAAGAGTACGGAAGTACCAGGAACTGAAGTGTCTTAAATGTGAGTGGCAGAGTTGTAATAATACATAAATTACCTTTAATCAACTCATAAACTGATTAAATGATAATGGTAGTGCAACGGTGAGAATTTTGCTGTAGCATTATAACTTGGTGTAGTTATTGTTTATAAACACACTTTAATTTGAAAAAATCCATCTCCTTCCTTACTCTGGAAACAGATTATTTTGATTTGCTTCCCCAGAGCTGGTCAGAAGACGGGGATTGTTCTGTGTCTCATCTTTCATCTTCTGTTACAGGGGTCCTGGGGGTGGTAGACCTTGGCCAAATCCAACCAATGCCAATTCTGTAAGTAAATATTTAAAATATATTCGACATCATCTTATATTTAGGGAAGTATTTCTCATCAATACACCAGGAAGAAAATTCCACTTCGTTCAAAAAACAGAATACTGCATGCTTTATATTTTTCCCCGTAACCCTAATGCAGAGCAGGTACAGTGAGGAGCACATCTGAACAGAGAGCTCATTCACCTGCAAATACCCAGCTCTGTTCATAATCACACAACAGCTCTGCATCCTTACATCAGTTACAGGACTTTCATAACACAAAGGTTATCCTGGGGTATATTTAAAATACATTTTAGCTTCCTTTAGCACAAGTAAGATGAGTTAGGTCAACACTATCTGGCCAGCAAGCTCTACAGAAATCACAGCTTGTTAAGAGACAGCTTAATGTGTGCTCACATATTTTACATAACAAAAGCACATTTGCTGCTCTTAACTAGGGAATAAGGAATCATAGAGCAATTGCTTGCAAGACATCAGCCATTTTTATATGCTTTTTGTAAAAAGCAGTGCACTGTATTGAATTTCATTGCAACAACTACAAAATGAGGTAGTCTAATAGCAGCTTGAAGGAAGAGGAGGTCAGTGAGGCATCCCACATGAACAACAGTGTCTGGTATTTCTTCAGAAAACACAAAGGTAAAGTTTTCATTTTCATTCAGTGATCATATATCATTAGTATAAAAATGTGTCCCTTTTTAGGACTGTCCTTTTAGCACCATGACTCTGGCTTAACAGACTAGCCTGGTTCTTTCTGTTGTTCTCAGTTTTGATTTTTTAATTCTACTAATGACAATTGGGGGAAAAAAAAAGAGCTGAAACTCTGCCTCAGTTTTCTTTTGTATGTACTCAACTAAAATGGATGTTAGGATATTTTTCAACTGATAGTTGGAATATTTTAATTATATTAAATTAATTGAGGAGTCCAGTAATAGATGTATTTGTAAAAATGAGTTGGCTGACAAGTTGTCTACTATCATGTAAGATGCTTATGCTACAAAATAATTTGTGTTTTGTCAATAGAGTTGCTTAAGTTCTTACCCCATCCTCCTATAATAGCATTGGTCTGTGCTTCTTTAGAGAGAATAATTGCAAAGGCTATCATAAAGAAGAAAAACAGATTATTCACAGGCAACTGGATTTCCCCAGATATCCTCTATAACAAATAACCACAATTGAATTTGAAATGAAAGTAGAACACTATCCTTTTAAAAAAAAAGAATAATGCAAAGAAATAAAATTGGTGTCTTCTAGTGTGAAAGATGTAAGAGAGCTTTTTTCCTTTATGGTCAAGATTTTAATCAAGGTTAAGTATATATAAGAACATAATAAATTCAGTCTATGCTTGGGATGACTCTGAAGTCCTATTGACTTAAATGCAACTATGTGCTGCTTAAGTTTATAAACCTTATAAAGCATATTACCTTAATAATCTTACAGCTTAACATTTTACTATAGACGGCAGATCTTTACAGACCTTATTGTGGCTCCCGCAATAAGAATAAGAAGACTCTTGTAGTAGATGCAAGAACTGGATTGGTACTAGACCTTGTAACTTGGTATCTCAAAAAAGTGATGCTGGCTGTTGGAAGTGCATGCCTCACTCATGAAACAATGGAGAGCAGATATCAGACCTCAGCCTACAGACATTTAAATGTGTGAATTATGTTATTCATATTAATTTCATTAGAGTGGCTACCAGGGCACAGTAATCTTAAATGGAAATATTTTTATTTTAAATATTGGGTATTAAATTTGGTTTGTGTCTCTATTGCTAGTTTTGGACTTGAACATACTTACAATGACAAGTTGTTGAAAAGAAGAGGTGTTTGTTTTGACAACAATAGCATTTTTCCATAATCCTTAACTGTGTCCTTGAAATAAATTAAACAAATAAGCGTTAACCTACAGCTGTACATAAATGTATGTATGGACTCTGTGTCACTGCAGAAGAAATTACTGTTTTGTTTCTGTTGATATTACAGATACCTTATTCTTCAGCATCTCCTGGGAACTACGTAGTAAGTACACTTGTGTGTGTTTGCTTATTAGAATACATGTTACATTTTATTTAGGCAAAGAAATAGCTGTCCAGATGTTAAGAAGAACCCTTGTGTCTTGGTTGAGAACTGAACACCTGATCTGCACTTAGGGTTTTTTCTGCCATCTATGGTGCATATGTTGATGTTCATTACTAGAATCATTATCAGTCTGGTCAAAATTGCCCTAAGTGCTGTTTTATTTCAGCAAACATTTATATAACCAGTACAATATATTGTCTTCAATAATAAAGGACAAAAAAACCCTCAGCTTTCTTGGTAACACAATATTGTGTATGAGTTTCTGAACTTCTTCAGAAGAAAAAGCATCTGAAGAATTAGAACAAGCTTTTATCTCCCCAAGGATATACAAATGGGTCCTTATAGCTAACATTTTAAGGGGAATTTTTATTCTTATAATTACCTTCTGAAGACTTGAAAATTCTTTTTTTCTCCATAGTCTGTTCCGTCTTCATTTCACAGACATTGTCTTAATTTATTATGGATTATTTGGTATCATTGTTTTTTCTTAGTCTGTACTTTAGAATGAAATAGTTAAAACTTTGTAATAGGCCCAGCATTGAGCTGTCATTCAAAAGAACATGAAATGCTAACCCTCTCTCTGGAATTTAACAAATACACTTTACCTATCAACAAAATGTTTTTTGTTGATACTACTCGTTTTTGTCTCTATCCCAAGAGATTAACTTTGTTTATCCTTTTAGGCTCTTTGCTGTTGTTGTTACTGTTGTACTTGCATTATTTGTACTTCTGATGTACTCTTCTAAGGCATATTATTTAATCTGTTTTTATCACATGCTTAGTACTGGTGTCACAGGGTAACGAGGGAGAATTAGGTGTATATATATATGTTGGATTCCAAATTTCTGTTGGTCAGTCAGGTTTCAGTAGACCTGTCTTTTGATATTTCATGTTTCATCACCTGAAGATTAGACAACTGCAGGGCATTGGCTTTAACCAGCCTAAAACCTGAAGCTATTTCAGAATGTGGAAATAGCAGGTCCTTCACCATGAGGACAATATACCAGTGTTCTTTCATCTGTTTGTGCTGCTTATAGGTTTCTCTAACTCTCAGTCTTCATAAGAGAGATGATCTTGCAGAGCTAAAGCTGAAGGATGAGTTCAAGGATGAGCTTGCTTTGTTTAGGCAAAAGCAATTTCTTTTGTCCTTTATTTAGATAATTAGCTGTGAAAAATGTTATGATTCTCATAAGTGTCCATAACTGTAGTACTCATTTTGCCACGGTTAGTGGAAACAGTCCAAATCTGCTGATCTCCAAACCAGTTCTTTTAATGCAGAACTTCATAAATTTCTCTCTTTTGGGAAGAGGGTTTGTTGGTTTTGCCCTAGACGTTAGTGATGAGTTACTGTTGCAGATTTTGAAGATTTTTTTTGAATATTTGACTTCATATTCTCATTTTTTAAAAATACGAAGTCCTGAGAAACTAGAAAAGGAGATACAATAGAAAATTATTTTAAAGAAGCAAACCTAAGTAAAATGCAAGTTGTCGTAGCGGACTCTGTTGGTGTACTCACATCAAGCCAAAGGTCAGCCGGCATAAATAACCTGGACAAAAGAGGTCATCACCATATTTCAGTGTATAGATGGAGGAGGAGTAAGAGTAAAGAGGTGTTTTTACCTCTTTCAGTGACAATAATGAGACTGATGCTGGAATGTTGCATCTAATTGGCAACATTGAAGGGAAATCAAAAGATATGCAAAGATGAAAGAATGAGACATGTGAAAGATTGAAGTTTTGGAGAAAATGCCTGAGCCTCTGATCAAATGTGCTCTGTGAACTCCAGCTGTGCTAGCGGGAAAGGTTGCTGCCTGATTCCTTGTCCCCATTCTTCTGCTGAAGGTTACCACTCTGTCAGGTCTGCCACTGGAGTTCCTTGGATGAGTGACCCTTTGTCCAAAACAGCTGAAGTTGATTGAAGCATTTAAAGAACCAGGTCCTTGCTGAAGCACTTCAGTTGACCCAAAATAGGTGGAGGGACACTCACAGAGGGAGCTCCAAGCAGAGCTGAGGCTGCTGCTAGCAGAGGATAGTGGTGGAGCAAGGGTTGAAATCTTCTGCGAACATAAATGCTTGCACAGTGCATGTCTCGTCTGATGCTGAAAGAGTAGTCTTGCTTCAGAAAGGGTCACTACATTTTGGAAAAGGAACGCGTGAACTCCAACCATACAAACAGCTAAATAAGCAAAACTGGGGGGCAGTAGCTTCCTTGGAAGCAGCTAGCTTCCAAGCACTTAGGGACAAGGTGTGGGCTGGAGAGCTCTTAAAGCAGCTTTTGAGCCAAAGCATTTGTGATGTGGAACTACACACTTTGAGAGCTTAATCTAGTTAGTTTATCAGACAGGTTTTTGAGCATTAATTCCATTACATATTAATATATTCTCAGGGAAAAAACAGTTGATGCCAACAGGCTTTCTAAGAGAAGAAAATATACAAACAATGCTAGTAAATGCAATTTAAAACTTAGATACAAATGCTAATAGTGATGATAAGTAACTTTTCTAATAAATGACCAGTTAGTGGTTTCTATACCTCTTTATGTGATGCTGAAAAATATATATAAACCTAAAAAAATCAAGTTGGCGAGCTTAGTGCACAAGTACATGGATAAAAAGTCATAGCCTGTGATGCCCAGAGGGTCATATATGTGATCGAAAGGTCCCTCTGAATTTAGAGTCTGTAGCTCTGCAGCAGCAATGTGGGAATTTCTTGTTGCTGAGGGCGGAATAGGCCTTTCAGACAGTTTTGACAAGCCAAATCCTAACACATTCAATTGTAATTTGGGGGTGGGGGAGAAAGCTATGTATCTGCTGGCAGTATGAAATGAAGTTGTGATTATGCCTTGATTTTTATAAGCTGATCTGTGGGTTTCATGGTGGAGCAAGCCTTTGTTCTATCACGCTTTATAAAAGATACTCAGTGACCTTGCTTAGTTCACGAACATGGGGAAGCACAAGATAAAGAACTGGTAGGTGCTGTAACGTATAAGGGCATAAAGGTATACATATGTTGACTGACTGCAGGGGCATGCTGCTGCTTCTGGGTAAAAGATTTCTGTTTCATCTACAATTAACTGTGAGTTAATCACTGGCTGGCAGACAAGAGATGCTTCCCCCTGAAAGTATTTTACTTGTACAAACCTGGGGAGAGGTGGTATCAATCAGAAAGCTGCTATGTTACTGAGTTTGATTGTCTGAAAATAGTGTTTACTAGTATATTATTGCTAAATGTTTTGTAAGAAATGTTACTTTAAGTAGGCCATTGAGAAACAGGGTCTATTGTTTTAAATCCAAGACTTCTCTGCCTCCTTTCAAAATATTTCAGTGAATTATAGCAAATCTCAGCAATGTCCTTGTAAGCAGACAGGAACAACCAAACCTTTATATTCAGTGCTACTGAAAAAATGTTCCTATCTGGAACAGTATATCTGCTATTTTAAAATATAACAAAAGAGAGAAAAATATAATATAATCATCTGTTGTTAGCAATCTGTGTATTTTTTATTATGGAAAGTCAGTATTTATTGACTTTTATTGACACAGATGCTTTTATCAAACTAGAAGTTGGTAGTTTTTCATGTTAGTGGATCTGCAAACATAGGAAGCAAGGAGTTATGGCTCTGTTCTTACTAAACGGTTAGGATGTTTAGAATAAAATTATTGGAGAAATTTTTAAGGAAACTTAAAAAGCTTGATTAACAACCAGAGCAGTTTGTGTACATTTCTTAGTCCTAAACAGATTTGCAACACAGAAATACCTGAAACTAAGAAAATAGGAGTTCCTTGATGGGGATTTTTTGTTTGTTTTTTATCTTTGATTTAGCAGTCTAGGAAAGCGATATGACTGTACTCAGCATTATCCTGATTTTTTTAATCCATTTGTCATTAATTTGAGCAGAAATTATGTATACAGATGTTATTTTTAAAAATTGTAGGATATTATACAGACAGAATTAAGATGCCTATGGCATCGAGACACCAAGTCTGCCTAAAAAAAAGCTTTCTTAAGGTGATTAGGCTCTTCTGTCCACATAGGACACCCCCTTGTTTTGTGCTTAGCAAACATTGGTTACTCTGCCATTGACTATGTACAGAGTACAACAAAACAGAAATGCCAGCTGAAAACCCAGTGGTAATAAAAGTAGGTTGAGGGAATTAAATATAATTGTCTTAGGCCCTGCTCCAAGTATTTCTCTTGTCTGATTCATAGCATGACACAGAGTTATTGAGTAATGGATATTCTTGCGTCTGTACACCTACGTACATCAGAAGTCTGTCCCAGAGCTTGCTGACCAATTACCTTGTCTTAATCTGTGATGAGCTGTTTCGCTCACTTATCAGAAAATGTGGGTGTTTTTACCAGAGTAACTCATGACATTCATGATAGGGTTTTTTTTTCATTTGTACTGTGTTCATTTTTTACTGCAGTATTTTTTCCTTTCATGCTAACCGACATTTTCTACCCTCTCTAGGGTCCTCCGGGAGGTGGAGGGCCACCAGGAACACCTATCATGCCTAGTCCTGCAGGTACTGAAATATACTCAGAAATAATAAAAGATAATTATAAGGGATTTTAGGAAGTACACAAATTATTTTTCAGACTTTGATTCTCATGAAGAAACAGCTAATGAGAAATTGTTAGAGTTGTACTTTGTATCAGTTTTTTTTCTGTGTTTTCACTCGCTTTCTCTCCCTGCTATGTTGCAGAGATAGAATAGATACAAACCATTATATCTGTAAAGTTCAAAGCAATTAATTTCTCTGGCTTTTGAGCCCATCTTTTCTTCCACAATTTCAGCAATGGCAAGGAAAAAATGAAAGAAGACACAGTCTTTATTTGTTTTTGCTAATGTTCTTTGGGACAATTTCACCAATTTGGAAATGAGGAGATTTCTGAATCCAGTGAAACTTCCACTGTAGTATCCTATGGGATAGACCTGACCAACATGTGGCTCTTGAGCAATATGTGACTCACAGGCATGGCTGCCATGGCTATGTCATCTGACTGACAGCAGGGTCACACTGGGCAGATTGCTCTCCTCTGTACTGCAGTGGAGGAGTAAGCCCCCAGAGGAACCATTGTCATGTCCTACCAGTGATCTGTTCCCAGAACTTCCCCATTGTTTCCCCGAGTAACACGGTCTGTATCTTGCAACTTTGACCATGTGGAGATTTTGGCCATGCAAAAGTTTGGCCACATTCCTACTAAGGTTTGAAGAACCAAGGAGGAGGATGGCAGGATTCAGGATGGCTAGCTAGCTTCTCAAGGCTTAAAGATGGTTAACTAGATGTTAGTATTTGTTAGTATTTCCCTCCATCAGTGTTCTGCAAAGATTCTGATATGAAGGTGGAACTGCAGCATGTGGAGGATGCTGTCCTCCCCCATGGACAGCATCAGAATTCTGCTAAAATGAAACTAATTATATCTTGTCTAACCCAATATTAAGTAGCTACTCCTTTTGGCCAACACCTGCCTTTGTAACTCACTTTCACCATCTAAGAGAGACTTTTTCACCTCCGTGATGTTACAGCATCCTCAGTCCTTATGTCCTACATGTTCTTGCTGTCCTCTACAGCACAGGAGGATAGGAAAGTTTCCTAACAGGCCATGAAAAGTTCTTGCACCAATATAATATCTTCATTAAATACAATTCCAGGGCTTTAAAAAAATGCAACCTGGGATAATGTGTAGGGCTTCCTTGATGTTCGTATTATGAGTGAAAAAGCTAATTAGTGCAAGCTGGCATTTAAAAGTTAGAGTCAAACTTGCGGGCAGCCTGCACTTTTGAAAATAGTCAGCACTGCAGTTACGGCACATGTTAGGCTGTCTCTGTGCAGCTCAGATAAAGCTTCTGCTGACACTTGTTCCCCTTTTCAGTCAGATACTCAAAGATGTTTTGAGGCTCTGTTTTCCAAAGTATGAAAACACTTAGAAATTGGCCACCTGAGAATTTTGCAAAGGTACTTACTTGCCTCCAAGACAAACCAACTCCAGTGGTACCCATGGCCCAGCCGACCCATATGTATTTTTACATGAGCCAGCAGAATATGGGAGAGCCAGGGATGCGTTTTTCAGAAGGATCTGGTGGTTGAAGAACTTGTTGCCTACCTCATCGAACATTAAAAATAACTTCTGTGTGCTAATTTTACTTTCATAACTTTAGGCTTTTTGTTCCCTCTCTTCCTCAAACAGCATATTTGAATGTTGTAGTGATACATAGTGCTCTGTATATAATGGAATTATTTACTCACCAAGGTTAATGAATGCTTAGAAAACTGTCTCAGAAAGATTAAGGAATAAACAAAGACCTTGATTTTAACTGCCCAGTGTACATACAAATACATTCTTGCGGGATGTCAGGCCGCATTCCCAGTTCCAACCCATTTTAGTCTGGTCTCAGCTTTCTCGCTTTCACTACTTCTGACTCAAAAGTCCCCCATCACCTTGTCTTGGAAAAGGAATTACAGCTCAGGAGTGGTTTTTGCGTGTGTTGTTCATCTCAAAACTCTGGTTCAAAGAGTTGGAATGGTCTTTTGGAGGAGCTAGGTACAGAGTACTAAGGTATTCTTTATTCTTTTTGCAGATACTATAGAGGTACTGATTTTCCAGAGTTGCCAATGCTTTTTTTAAATCATGCTGTCCCCTTAGGGATGTATTCAGACTTTCCTTAGGTCACTCTCCTCTCAGTAGACTTTTTCATTACATGGCCTATCATCAAGTTCCCTTGGGAAAGGTTTTTGCCTAATTTGTCTACTGTCTGCTGCACATTTTGCCTTCTCTTTCTTACAAATATTGATGAAGGGTGTTAAGACTTCGTGTGTGTTAGCAGTAGAGATAAGCTGGAGATCAGGATGAATAATTTGTATCTACAAATGGTTCTTAGGCATTGGTTTCTTAAGTTCAACCAGAAGAGTTATGTGGTTGTCTTCTATGTGTCTTGTTAATTAAATCTTGCATTTCAACTCTGGAGGTGCTCTGTCTGAAAGTTCATGTGCATTGATTGGAGGAAAAGGACTGAGATGCAATACAGCTGTGTCAACATCTGGCAAGGCCAAGTGAAACTCTTGGCAGAACTTACTGGCCTAGGCACCATGCTGTACCAGGGTGATTTTGTTGGTTTTGGACTCAGGGTTTTTTTGAAGCATTGCATCACACTGTACCATGAAGATACATCAGCTAAAGCTGTCCTTAGAGCGAGGATCTTTGCACAATGTTCCACTGAATAGTTAGATATATCCAAAATCAAATTGACTGACATGAATAAGAATAAAAAATTCTCATTCACTGTACTAACTTGCAGACTGTATAATGAGAAGCTATTTATCATTTATTACAGATGAAAAACAAATTACAGGAAGTATTGATAAGAAAGAAACTCCTGTTTTATGGAAAATAATTGAAGATGAGTGAAGTAATTTGGAACTCCAGGAAAAAGGGTTTATGGAATTAAATAGTTACAGATACATGGTGATTTATAAACCTTTTAACAGTCATGCATAAAACTAGATTCTAGAAGTAGTCACTTAGGGACCATTGCAATTATTTCTTTTCATAGCTCTGTTGTGTGGTAGCAATAGATAGAAAGGGAATGAAATCTTCCATTATATTGCCACTGTGTATCAGTGATTCATGCACAGAAATAACATGAACAAAATGACAGGAAATGTATTAGGAGAGTAGTTTTATTGAAAGGTATATATTAGCACTTAAAATAATCTCTTATTACAGATTCAACCAACTCTGGAGACAACATGTACACTTTAATGAATGCAGTACCACCTGGACCCAACAGACCTAATGTAAATATGAATCTAGTTATATACTTTTTTGAATTATACAGCCTTTTTTTATCCAAACACTATGTTTCCATCACATATCATTAATACTAATTATCCCATTTTTATGGGTGACACCTCAGTTGCTTCCCCCCCACCATGTACTTTTTAGCATTTCCCAAATCAATCATGAGAATACATGTAAAATAATGATTGGGGCATATTCTTCTACATGGAAAAGACCTTAGAAGCTTCTGCATGTGGATCTTGGGGACAACTTAGTTTGTCACACTGCGGTGCAATAGACTTCTATGTGTTAGGACGTCATCCTAGGAGCTGCCACTAAGCATTAGTTTCTGTAGGATTCAAATTTTTGTTACAAAGAAGTATCTACTCTTGAAAAGGGAGGAGAAAATTGCTGAAAGTGACCCAGTATTATGTTGCCCTGCCGTTCTCTAAAAAAGGATAAAATTAATACCTCTAAGAAGAAAACAAACTTCCCTGTTTATCTAAATGGGATGTTAAGAATGAAACCTATTGATAACATTTAAGTATTTGACTAATGAACTAGTTAACTTGTAACTATTTTAGCTTAAATTTCAGCAGTTCTAGAGCTGACAAAAATCTGGATTCCCAGGTAGAACTTGTTTCTTCTCTGATATTTCTCTATGCCTTCAGTTTTATTGTATTTCTCTGATTACAATCATATTTCATTTAATCACAATCCATATTATGGGCCTTTTGAAAAAAAGGCCAGTAGAACTTAAAAATATAGATATTTGGTTATTGCTAAATCATTATGCAGTGAATTTTAGAAATTTTTCAATAAAGTTAATGTCTTCAAGTTTTTGAAGAACTAAATTTAAGGTTAATATCTGAAATTGGACAGAAACTGCTCATGCTGCAAAGGTAATGTGGAGTAGTCTGATTGTCAGTATGGATAAGGTGGAGTTTGAAAACCGTTAATTAATCACTTACTTACCCATTGAAGAGAATCATAAAATTCCCTGTAACTTCAATGGGAGTAGAGCTAGGTCAGCACTAGCAGGTTTGAAAGTCATACACAAAGTGTTGAAGTAAATAATAAATTATTCCTAAGTTATATTCCAGCCTACAGAGGTGAGAGTTTCCAAAAATCATGAAAGTAGCATTGGAAAAAGTAAACAAAAGCAATGATGTTTTTGCAGTCTTCACATGAAAGACTTTCACTCAACTTGTGCATTCAGAGCTGGGACTGTGCATTTTTCCTTTACTTTTTTTTTTTTGAGGAATATTTTCTTTTTATTAGATTATTTACAAAAAATTGTACAGTAATACCAGTTTTTAATATCTGATCCTTTTGTAGTTTCCAATGGGGCCAGGGTCAGATGGACCTATGAGTGGACTGGGTGGAATGGATTCACATCATATGAATGGATCATTAGGTAATGATAGTAAATATTACAAACATTGTGAATTTTCAATGACTAGTGCCATTTTCTATGACTAGTTCTCTTGAGTTGTGTGGAAGACTGTATGTAAAAATCTTTTACAAACTGAAGCAGTTGTATATACAACAATAAGAAATATTAAAATACTTTTTAAGCATATGAGTTGGCATACATCATGCACCTCTGGAAGAAAAATACTGTATTTTATTTATATAAGAGAGTATAGTTTTAATTCAGTTGGAAAACCGGGGGCTAAAAACATACCGTCTCAGTAATCTAGAGGTGAAGGCTTAAGAACAGTTTTTATTTACGTCTCTTCCTCTTTGAAAATCTTGGGAAGGTGTCATTGTGAAATGCTGGTGCACGTTCTTACCAATTACCTGGAAGTAAGTTATTACATATTTTGATGTATGTGTTAAGCTGGATTTATCCCAACATTTTGATATCCTCATTTGTTCTATACTTAGCCATATGTCTGTTAAGTGTGAGTATTATTACTCCATCCCCATTAGCAGCTTCAGACAGGTGCCAATTTTAATGCACCCAAAAGAACATGAATTCTTGTGAGGGCATGCAGAGGCAGGAGGATCAGTGTACTGCTTGACTACTGACATTACGATTTTTGAAGGACTCGTTTCTAGCGGAGAAGCCTTGCACAATTCTGCAAAACACACATCTGACTATTCTAGCAAGTTCTTTGCTCTTACTCTTTGCTGGAAGCATGATAGACACTTGAAAGGGTTTTAAGAAACAAGCCTCAGCTAAATAAATTGCATTTATGCCTTCCTCTTCCATACCCACAAGGTAAATAAATACCTTGTTTTTATTTCTGCTCATACCATAACACCAGACCAGTAGCTCTGAATACGGTTCTTGCGTTGTACTCTTCACTTCTGTCTGCACCAAGGGGTGTCGGTCATGCAGGCAACAACAGGGGGGAACCTCAGGTTGCAGGGACTTCAGATCTCTTTCTTTCTTGTTCTATCCCCATGGTCCACCAGCAAGGTTCTTTTTTACATATAGGAGCTGGCCTGATGCCCACAAGGGGCTCCAGCAACACCCTGTTGAGCAGTGTTTTCCTTTATGTGGAGAAACCCAAGCAAGCTAGATACAGACCAGGCAGGCAAAAGCCAAGCTGCCACTGTTCCCTGTGCTTCTATCCCCAAAGAAAATCTCTGTCACCTTCCCAGCACAGGCACGGACCAACCTAAACTCCATACCATTTAAGTCATACTACCATGATAAGTGGAGATCTATCACTCCTAGCCCAGAAGTTGGAGGTTGTGAGACAGGAAATATAAACAGGTAAGAAGAAGGGAGAAATTCAAAGAGGCTATGACAAGATGCGAAAAAAACCTAAACCATCAAACCTCATTTAGCAGACATGTTCTGAACAATTAAAATTCTGCAGTAGACATCTATCTCCTAACAGAATTATCTTTTTTTCTAGGAAAGCATGTCCCTGAAATTCCTAGATTACTTTGCATAAGGACACCTTATGATTGTACAACCTTTCTTTACATATTACAATCCTAAAATGGATTGTTGCTTTAATTAATAATGTTGCACATTACATTCAAATAAATGAAAACTGCGTAAAAGGTAGTCACATCTTTTCTGTCACTTTCTATAGCCTGAGAATTATTTCTTAGCTAAAAGAAAAAAATAAATCAAAACAGTTATGGAAAGATTTTACGTGTACCTAGCATTTGGTTAGTTGTTTTCTCTGTTGAAAATGGTGATGTGCTTAGTCAAATTAATGATGACTGCTTTCTAGGGGTAACTTCATACTAAACTGGAACCTGAGTTCTTTTAGGAGAGGAGGGCTAGGAGAGATCTGCTGCATTCACTTCCATGCTGCAGAAGGCAGCTGTGTCTCATAATCAGATGGATAAATTGGTCAAGGTCCATCTTGAACTTCTCCAACTTCTTTGACCACAACCCTTCTATTGGATATCTGTTCATAGCTCTGATGGTTAGAAAGAAGTCTTTTCCCGATTTCCACCAAAATTTATCCTTTGGGCCATCACAAAATGACTCTTCATAACATTTATGTATCTGATGTATTTATAGAGAGAAATCATATTCCTTCTCAGCCTTAATTTGCCTGGCTAAGTATAGTAAGCTATTTCAGTTTCCTCCCACAACTCCATTTTCTTGATTGTTTTTGTCCGATACTCTTCTAGTTTCGTATTTAGTACTCTGCTAGAATTTGTCTTTCCTGAAAATAGGTGACCAGAATTGTTTACTGTCTGTTGCTGCTAAAAACACTTTTCTTGATACATCCATCTTAAAGATGTATTTCCTTTATTCTTGGCTTTACCTGAGTGAGAGCTACAGCATGTGAAAAAATTGTTTTCATTAGTCTTGCTTTCATTATATTTAATTTTACTTGGTTTCTGTTACTCTGGTCCTCAGGATCATCTGCTTTCTTCTGAAAGATACTGTCATCATCAGTATTTGTAATGCATCAGAAGTTGATGGCATTTCAGCCAATTTCTGTAGTAGGCTTCCGCTTCTGGGAGCAAAGACATTGATGAAACCCTCACGGCTGACCTTAGAGATAGTCCACTGCTGGGGAGTTTTGAATAGCTGAAGTTCAGTAAAAATAGTGGTCTTTTTTTTCCCCAGGGTCATCAACTTTTACTAGTTATCCATTATTTTGCTTTCTTTCTTTCTCGAGCTGAAGCAACATTTCCCCAAATTAATTGCATTACCTGGTACCCTACCATGGCTAATAGGACAGGGAAGTTGGACATACAGTTTCTTGAGTTGTGCTGGGTTGTCTCATCCTGAAAGGATGCCACCCGGGTAACTGATACAGATCAGAAGTGTGTCCTTCATTCTTTTCTCATTTTTTGCACCGGGTGTATACACAGAGAAAGGACTAACATTATTCCATACTGACTGTAAACTTTTACTAAAAGAGACACGGGGAAGGAAGTGAGATGATGCATCGTTGGTTATGCTTTAAAATATTGCTGTTACACTCTGTATATACTATGAAAAAAGTTCTTAGATTAACTTCAGCTCAAAACTAACTGAATAATTGTCTATTTTAATTTAAGGGTCAGGAGACATGGACAGTATTTCCAAAGTGAGTATCTAATCAAATATTTAGAGTTTTTAGAATATTTCATTCTAAACCTATTTTCTTTGTCTCTGTGATGAAGCTTTTTATTATGTATCTACATTTTCTGCTTGTCAACTTTTCGGAGGCTATGCAGACAGAATTAGTATTAATTGAAAATGAAAAAACAACATAATCAATAGGAAGTATAAGTAGACTTATTTCCTACTGCATAATAATGTGTATTAATGAATGTGATTAATATCCAGTTCATAATCTGATTGATCATGTTATGATCTTCCATACTGTTAAGACAAATGAATATAGTTCTAATAATCAATTCTAGTTAAATGTAAATTTGGGAAAATGGCATTAGGATGTTACTTTTATGCACTGCATGATTGCTTTTGTCACCTCTGTAAGGCAATGTTAATATCTTAATCATTAGTGTAAGTTCCTAAAAGCTAGATTAAGAAGTAGTTTCAGAAGAAGCACTGTTTTGATATCACAACCATTAAATAGTACACTGGAAATGAATGTGAGCTTAACCCTCAGGGGTTTTGCATCTGCAAAAATAATATTGTGCTTGAATGTGTCACTTCTTCCATAAAAATAAAACTACTACATATGTGATCATCATTAATTTAGGAATTAATGAGCTTATTTGGTATTGGTAAAGTGGCATAAATCTGTCCCCAGCAAAACACTATGTTTTGTACTCAGCATCTTCAGATGTAACTGACTGAAACTAATAAATACACCACTACAACAGTCTCCCTGCACTTTCATGCTTTTGATCTATAAATACAGAAATTGATGAAGAGATTGTTTCAGTTGAAATTTTATAACTCATTCATTTGTAGCAAAGTTCTTCACAATCTTCCAAGAAAGGAGTATGAGTTCATTTTGAGCATTTCAACTGCCGGTGTATTTTAGTTGCCCCAGGATCGAGTACTGCGGTGCTGTCACTAGATCTCTCCCAGTGCAGACTCTGCCACTTGAAATCTGTCTAAGGCTGATCTGCACATGCTCCAGTCACTCTAGGGACCTTGCTGTAGATCTATGCTCAGGAGCTATGATGAGATGCCAACTCGTAGGGAACAAAATGCTCACTTGAATTCCCATGGGTTAACACAGAAGTTTGTTGTGTGAATTTGTTGAGAATACACTTCCAGGTGTTCAAAAGGCAGGAATCATTCTTCACTTAGTGACACCTTTTTGTATATCCAAAGAGGAGGAGGAGGACCTTGTGTGGTTCCCCAGTTTGTGGTCTTGTGGTGGTGTGGGATGGGAGAGGGGTGGCCTGTAAAGTGTGCTTAGCGTGTATCTTTCCTGGAGAGAAGGACCTCAGCAATGTGTCCGAGGCCATTGCTGCTCCTGTGAGGCAGCAGCATCTATAGCAATCCTATGTTTTTGTACATTTTTAAGACCTATAACATTTTCAGACTCTGCAAAGAGTAAAAGATGGTTTGAAATGAGCATGTTGCCTTAGTTGCACTGTGCTTAGGTGTGGAGTGATGGATTCAATAAAAGCCTCCAATGAGATAATAAGTGTTCAGCACTTTTTAAATCAATGTCCATATTTTTTCTTCAGTATTTTTACTGCAAGCTTGCAGCATTTTTTAAGGAAGAAACCCAAAACATTTCCATTAGCTTGCCTTAGGATTATTTTTAAAAGCCTGTATTCGACCTACTGGTATTAAGTATCAGTATATGTGCTAATACAAGTATCAGGAGCTCTGAAAACTTGGATCCAAAAATTTACCTGGAAGTCTTGTAATTTGTTAACCGTAATAAGTAACTCATGGGAATCACATTTGATGCATGTCTTTTTCAAATAACTAAAAGAAAAATGCTGTTTACTTTGGAAGTAACAGAGTTGTTCTGTTACACCATTATGTATAATACCTTTTAAATATCTTTTTCTGAGTAGCACTGCCCAATGTGCAGCCTTCATTGACAGTAGTAAAAGTGTGTAGGTAGCATTTGTAATTTTGGGTAGGAAATAGTATATAATGCTTTTGAAACTTGAATGGAAGAGTTCTGCTTGCAAGGAATAGTAGATTTCAGGGGTTGATGCATGCAAAATTATTAGGTGGACACCTTCCAATTTTGTACAGAGTTACAAGGATTGTTCTCGTAAGGCAACAGTCTCCCTGCATACATCACTGGCTAGTCTTGCAGCTGGCTTTTTCACAAGTAGATTTCTGGTGACGGAGACTGTTCACTGAAGTTAACACAGTTTGGGGTGTGTGATGCTCAAGTCCAGGCACAGGACTTCAGTGGAGTAAAATCCATATTAGAGGAGCTGATTATCAATTCCCAGGAGATGCAGAAAATTAATCTAGTCTTGGTAGAATCAGTACAGCTCACAGAATTCAGAGCTACATTTTCTAGAGAAGGTTTTAATTGAATTGGCTGAATAGCAAAACATGAAGTTTTTATGATGGGCGAAGTAAATGAACTGAAATGATGCATATTAAATAAACATTAATAACCAGTGTTTCTTGCAGTGCCCATGGAATTTGTGCAGGCATCAAAGACATCCTTGCTTTGGAAAAACTCAGCTGGTGCTACAATGCTAGACCCCATACTGGCCATAAAAGCAGCCCAGGGGAGTTGCTATAAAAGCGTTTATGTCAGGAATTTGAACCTTTGGGGCTGGTGTACTGTAGTGATTGCAGCATTTCAGAGCTTTGCGGTACACAGAGCGCAAAGATAAAATAGGGGTACACCCCCAGGAACAAACAGAAGTGTGGGAGCATCATATAAAATAAATGCGACAAGGCCTTAATGGGTTTTAAACTTTATATTCATAGATTGTAAGGCCGGAAGGGACTGATATGATTGTGTAGTATGACCCCCTGCATAACACAGGCAACAGGACTTCCCTGAATTAATTCCTGCTTAATGTACAATAGCTGTGGTTGAACTAAAGCAATAGTTTTCAACCTTTTTCAAGCTCTGGATCCCTAAATATTTGCAATACTAACTTCACTGAATAGCAAACTTGTCAGTTGTTAATTAACTAGTTAGGCTTTTAGTTGTCTTTGATGGCTGTGTTGTCCAGTGATTGCTGGAGATCTGGGGATCACAGTTTCAGAAGCAGTGAACTAGACTGAAGAAAGCAAAAGGGCAAAGGCAGGGGTCTTGACCTTGAAATGCAATGTAAGTTGCATTTCAGGTGCTAATAAAAAACAGTTATGCTTGTCACTTATGTAAATAATTTTTTAATTTTTTTTTTCATCTATAACTGAAAATAAATACACTGAGCTGAACCCATAAACATACCTGGCCATTCAGACTGAGAACGGTGATCTTCCCTCAGGGGAATATGGTGAAAACTTAACAGCAGCTTTTCATTAACCAGTCAAAACATACTGCAGAGCGGACAGTATGTACAGCCATCAGGCGTGCCACTCTGCTAATGTAGTAGCAAAAAGTAACTGATTTAAGTTTTGGTATTTGGTGAAGCTGGGAACAACGCTTTTTGTTCTCTTTGGAGGTGAAGTACATCCTGTGGAACAGTGGAGTATGTTGCAATATTTAAATTATGGACAGTGGTCACCATGGGACTTCATGATTACAAAGGGGAGCATGCGGAAGTATGGTATGAAGGGGAAGCAGAAGTCATAGCTATCCCATCCCATTTTCTGTTCAGTCATTACTCCACTATACATCTTTAAAGTGCCAGGGTAGGATAGAAAGCCTTTGTAGTTGTGAGGAAAGTGCCAAGAAATTAAGGGGACTTTCTCTTTTTTTAATGTTTGCTATTTTTCCTTCAGAGTTTGACCTCTTGCAGATTTAGTTATACTAAATGAAGAATGCATGCAAGTATTTTCAAAGTGCAAAATACCTTGGGTTTTTTAAGAAAAAATCTCTATGCTAACAGACGTACTGTGTCAGGATTGCAATTGAGAATAACATAAGAAAAAGAGAACAAATTCACTTAGGATTCTTACAGCTGTTATGATTTGGTCACTTTGATCAAGAGCACTACTTGGAGTTGCATTTTATTAGCTTGCCCATTGACTGCACTAGGTTTGTGTTAAATTTAATGTGACACACCATATTTGCATTTGTATAAGGAAAATCTCAACAGCAATATTGCATCCAATTTTTCTGGATTAAAAAAAAAAATCAAGGGAAGAACTATGATAGATGTAAACGTTTCATAATGAAGTTCATTACTTCACTCCTTCCTTTCCCTGACTGCTCCTTTTCCATCACAAATCCTCTGTAAGTAGGAGTCCTAACAGTGATGGAAAGAGAATCACCCATGCTCCAGGCATTGTAGGGTACCACAAATCAACTTTGTAAAAACACCTAGCTAATTGTAGTGTCTACAATAATCATGTATTAGCTATTGACTCAGAATAATTTCTGTGACAATTACCTCGTTTCAGCCTTTCTTTAAGTAACTGAATCTTGAAGGCATTTTCTGAACATTGCAGAGGTTGTTGTGCACTTCTGTAAAAAAAAGGAATTTATCTTCAGAAGCCTTTGTATTGTTATTTTTTATTAGCATTTCAGTTACACCTAGACACTGAAAAGGCAAATTAAAACGCTGTTGCATTATGCTCTGTGCAAGCAAATAGCAAAAGTACAGCTCCTCCTGGAAGTGTTTGTGAGCCCAGTCGAGTGGCCAGCTGTTACTCAGGAGTCTTCTATCTAAAACTCTTGCTAACTCTTTTACCTGTAAACACTGTGTATTAGCTGTGCTCAGTGAAGTGGTTTAGCACTTGAACCACACTTGTGAACTACATGTGAAACTGTATTTCAATGAACCATGAACTCTATGAACAAAGACCTCAGGCCCTGGCCTTTGCAAAGGTCTGTGTAGACCGGATCTGTCCATATGACTACCTTTAAGTACGTATTCGTAAGTCACATACTTCAAGGCACACGCTCATGGACTTCACTGAATTTGTCCACATGATTTAATGGAGTGACAGAGCTACCTCGTATACCTGCTGCAGCCATTTATAGCTTTTCCTAACTTCAGTAGGAGAAGATGCTGGCTATAACCTGAAAACAAGAACTACAGGTAAATAATTCTTGCCTCAGGGAAGAAAACATTACTTTACAGGCTAAAATTAGTGACTGAATCATGCAGAACCCCACAGAGGCTTATTTTTCATCTTTGGAAATCTCAGTGTATTGCACAGTGCATCTTTGTGCATTACAGTATCATGTAAAGCATGCCTTTGGCACACTTGGTGAAGCTGGGAAATGAACTGAAATCTTCAACACTTAATCTGTATTTTTAAATCTCATTTAACAGAACTCTCCCAGTAATATGAGCATGAGTAATCAGCCTGGCACTCCCAGGGATGACAGTGAGATGGGTGGAAACTTCCTAAACCCTTTTCAGAGTGAGAGCGTAAGTATTTCTTTACCTAGTTTTTTCTACTTTGTGAACCTTGATCTCTGGCATTTTTCTTAAAAAAAGAAAAACAACAGCAAGAACAAACAGTTTTGTAGTGTACTTGTAATGCAGTACTGTGCTTTACGTGTTTTTTACTAGCTTCTAAAATTATAGTATCGATTTGACAAAAAATTGTGCAAAACGCTGCTAGAAGTTGAGCTGAAACTGGAAGATGTGGGAGGTGTAGATTTACTGCAGAAACTCTTTTTCTAGATTAAGAGGTCAGGTGTCAATGAAAGTTAGATCTGTCAAGCAGTAATAATTACGCCTCATGTATTCAGTAATGCACAATGGGCATTTGTGAGGCAATATCTGAGCAGCCTAAATGCACATAGTTGACAGATCCTTACATCTGAGTGTTTCAATGTGTGGTTGCCCAACGTTTGACTCCTAAACAATGTGTTTCTCAGGGAATGTCTTTTAGAACAGGATTCACGCTGAAGTATATAATTAGAGCACCAGTAGATCTCATGTTGCAAAGATGCAGTGTGCTATTAGAGCCAGAAAAAACAAAGGTTCCCTCTAGTGTTCGTTCTGGGACAGACGATGCTTTTTTAAAATGGAGAATGCTGGAGGCAGCAAAACGTGGTATAAAACACATTACAAAGCACGACTACAGTACTTTCATACTCATGTGCCTGAAGCTGGGTTTCTAAATCCACATTTAGGTTCCTAAATAGGAGTGGCCTGATTTTTCAGAAGTGCTGAGTGACTTCAACACTTCTATTCTTATTGGAAATCACTGCTGCCAGAAGTGAGTGCAACTTCATTAACTATGCCAGTGGTGAACTTCAGCTCAGAAATTATGACACGTAAACAGTTTCTGTTAGATCACAAAACAGTCAAATTGCATGGCAAATTTCATGGGAATCAGATTTTGGGGTTTTTTGGGTTTGCTTCTTTAACTAGTGAAAAGGAAGAGTTTCTGCATGTTAGCTGTTGGTATCTTCATAAAGAGGGCACATGTTCAGATTGTGTGAAGTATTGGAGAAAATTGGTTTGTACAACCCAAAAGGCTGATGTTTCAATATCTGCCAAAAAACCAGTAACCACAGAACCTCCATTAAATGTGATCCTTGGTCATGGTAGTCCGTGACTTTCAATTTGGTATGCGTTGCTTGTACTGAGGGCAGGCAGTCTGATCAGCAGAAAGTCGTGAAAAGAAGGACATCAGCTGTACTCAAAATCAGTTTTCTCAGACACTTACTGGATTCTAGGTGCTCCTAGATGTCATTTTCCTACCTGGAAGAACCTGGGACCCAGTTCTCTCAAGGTTTTACGTGAGATATATGCCTACAAGACATGCATTATACAGGCCACATACATTCTAGTCTACTTCTAGATATCAGTTCCTCTCTAACACGAGTCACATTGTAGTCTTTGGGAACTGTCTTGCTTTCTGATTCATATTTCGTTACTTGACTACTTAGAGTAGGCATTATTATGAAGTCCATTCTCAGGCAAATTTGCTGTTCAGTTCACCAGGAGTTTTGCTTTGGGGTGGGGAACAGTGCTTGGCTAATAATAAGTTAAAAACCACAAACACCTTTAGATCATCTTCAGATTCCTTGTCCAAAGTGATTACCCAGGCACTTTGGCTCAGATACAGGAAGTCACTTGAACAGATGCTTTGCTTTAAGCATTTGAGTTGGTCTCTGACACTGGCTGAAGGTGAGCATGTTCTTACTAGCTTTGGTGGCCAACTGTGGGAGTGCTCAGCACATGATGGGACAGACAAACGATCAGAGACATGACATGGGACAAAACAGATTTTACCCAAGTAGTCCATTCTATGCAGTTTACATGACAGGGAAGACCCATCCAAAATAATTTTTGTAATACGCTTGGACACTTAGAAATGACCGGCTTGAAACTCTAGCTTTGGCAGGTTTTTTATTGCATCAGTTTTTGCAAAAGCAAATTTGTCTTTCTGTTTCTTTTATCATTTTCATAACACTAATAGCTCTTGCATTTGAACATTTTCCTCTACTTAGAAGATTTTAGGCCAAGTTAAGTGTTTCTGCAGTCTGCAATTTCCAATTTAAAAACAAATTAAGCATATAGATGTGCACTTCTGCTAGGCATTGTGGTGTCCCATTGATTATTGTAATGAAGTACTGCTAACTTGAGGGCAACTATAGCTTGTATAAGGGCTGCAGTTCAGTTTGTGTTACAGTAATAATGTAATGTGGTGACTTAATTTTTGGTTCACATGAAGGAGAATGACCACTGATCCTTGATTCAGCTTGCCTACTGAAATCGATACTACAACATAATACAGACCAAAAAGCCTAGTTTAATTCCAGTCAGACATATCTTCACTCCCTTTTTTCCATAAAGTAATAAAAAGCTCTCCAAAATATTTATGTGGTTCAGCGAACCATGAATGCAGCTGGTCTACTTGAGACTAGCCATCTGCCTAGCTAACCCCCCCCAGTAGCCAGCACTGACCAGGAAAGGGTCTGGAAAGCATCAACGAAGTATTGGTTCATCACACCACCCAGGTAACGCCGAAACAGTCTTTAAGGGAGTTGGCTTTATCAGTAACAGTTGTATTTTTACATAATGGGAGAAGCATAACAGAAGTTATGATACCACAAATTGAACTACAGCCTTAGCACAGGCTACAGTACAAATTTAGGAGGAAATTCAAAGGGCGTGTCGACATTTGAACTCATTGCTGTGGTCCAGAAGTGGTTTTAGTTACCTGTGGGGGAAAAATGGATGTTAAAATGTGGATTCCTCTTTTTTCAGTACTCCCCTAGCATGACAATGAGTGTGTGATCCGTTAACAAGTCTCGCCATGAAGACCACAGTGAGTTGGCCCTCTTCAGAGAGCTACTGCAGAAGAAAATTATTCGTCCCAGTGTACAGTTTAACAAAAGGATCTCAGACACAATCAGACCCACCATTTTTTGTTCTACCATCTCCCCCGTTTTGTCAAGACAGTGGGTCCCAAACATGATTGAGACAACTGTAAAGAGTGGCGTAACAGAACTGCCCAAGATGGAACTGCAAACAATTATCTGTGTATGTACATGTGTGGGTTAATGTATATGTATGTGTGTGTGATATAGAAATACACACATACATATATGGACCCGCAGGACATTGTAAAATATTATCACACGACATCTTAAGTAGAAATGAGAAGTTAGGGACTTTTATTCCTTCTTTTTTTTTCACGTTTACATTTTAATTATTAAAATTTGCTTTCCCTCTCCCCTCCTGAACTGTTTTATGTTGCATATATCACTGCTTTATAAGTTATTTTTTAAGGTGAACTCAAATGATAAATTCTTCTGATTTTGTAAATGTCTGCCATTATGGATAGGAATAAAATTGCTTATAAGAGCTTTCATTAACTTGTGTTTGATACCAGTTACCCTGTGAATCACAAACTGTACTGTCTCAAGAAATAGAAGAAAGCTCATCTTAATTTTTTGGAGAAATTTAATAATTTTCACCTAGTTTGGTGATTTTTTTTTTATACTTTGCCTTTAAAAAAAGAAGCACTGAAGGTTATTTTTCTTCTTTAATTGAAGCCTAATATCTGCAATATCTATTTTAAATGGAAGCCTGAATTTGATACAAGCTTCTCAGTTTATATAGAGTACTATAAGGTTACTGTAAGTGAGCTCCAATTGCTATAGAATCTAGCAATAAAGTGTCAGGGCTTCTCTGCCCTTGGAAATGAGTTTTCTGTTTAGCATGATCTTCCGTAGGGGTGGTAGTTAGTGGAAATACAGTAGAGTCCTTATCACCGAAACCTTTTCTAACAATTTACTATTATGTTTCCCATTTTCAGTGTTCTCTACCGAATCGTAGCAATCCATGGTCCTAATTATAAACAGTATTTTCCAAGCCCATTCAGAAAATCAGGTCACCCTGCTACTTGGGTGTGTATTTTTCACCATGTCTACCAGAATGAATTCCCCCAAAACTTTCCAGTAAGAAGTCTTTTTTTTTTTTTTTTTTTTTTTTCTTTAGCCAAAATGATGGAGTAAACTTGTTATGACTACTAGCCTTGTGAGGGTCTTACCTTTTGGAAGAGGAACAAAGGTCTGGGCCATTTTATAAGGAGGTCAGCCTATTAGACATGAAAGCTGGGGACAGAATGGAGAAAAGGCATATAGTCTTAAAGGAAATGCTTCTGGAAGCAATCCCATGTCTCTTCAGGCAAAGCTGTAGAACCAAGATTATGGTACATTTAGTTCCTAATGACTTCCAGCTCCCCCAAGAAAACAAAATTTTTCAGTTGTGTAGTGATCAAAAGGTTGATGATCAGCAATGCAGACACAAAGTGGCTGAAAATTCATGCCACAGACAAAAAGCAAAGTCCCCTCCTTGGACTTTGCATATAGAAGAGCCACTTACATAGGAGGAGCAGTTGTGAGATGTGGTTACGTCCATGAAGTCTTGCAAGGAGATTTTTTTCATGAACTTGTGATAAAGAAGTGTATGTAATGGGCTCAGTGTGATGGTAGCTGCACATAACGGGATATGTAAGGAATACTACAATCTCCTAACTCACTTCTGTTTACATATATTATATATATATATACACACATACACACATATATATATACATATATAATATATGAAAATAAAAAGGTGTAACACTTCTTACTCTTGTTAGGGCTATTCAAAGATTAAAGTCTTGGAGGCTTAAAATTATGTTAAAATATCAAAGATTTTAGTAGCATTACTTTTTAGTAGTAATAACTACTTCGATTAGTTGCAAACATAAACTAGATAGTCATTATATGGTTTTGTGGACTTTATTCCCAGTGATTATGAAGGTTACATTCACTTGCTTATCTTTGGAAAACACTTTGTTGCTGTCTCAAAAGATACTAGAAGCCCCTACTATTGATTTGAGTTACAAAACCACAAAATCAGATCTGATTTCCTAAGACCCTTCGCTGTTGTCACTAATACTACTGGTTTCAGTGGCTATGTCCCCAGTGCACGCCAGCTTCTCTGATAAGCACTACAGAGTCCAGGCGTCCTTGCAGCCTGAGTTTGACATCTGTATTATCCTTGGTAGCCTTCTAAGAAGAACTTTAGGACTCTTTTCTGCCCAGTTTCAGTCAGACGATGTCACTGCTGCTGAACTAAAGTAGATGGATATGTCTGGACTATGCATCAAGTGCTGTGCACCAGGTAAGTGTGCCCTCGAGTGAGCTCCTAAACTGTTGAGTGCATCTGGGGTCTGTTGTGTATCTCCAGGGGAACCCCCTGTACTGTCCCACGCCAAGCTGGGGCTCCTGCAGGCAAGCAGTGTGTCCACTGAGCACACGGCAGCTGGCCATGGTGGCATCACTGAGGGCTCTCTTACAAAACAGAGTATGTGCCGCCACTGGAGCGTCTTACTCTGGCAAAATTAAGCAGAATCGGGGCTTAGAATTAATCAGAGACTCAATTTTTTTTTTTCTTTCTGAATTTGGCATTATCTGCAATAGTTTAGCTTATAGGCACCTGTTAAGGATGAAAATCTGACCATTAAATTAAACCTGTGCAAAGAAACCTCTTAAATGGAACTGCCAACACATATTGAATATCATTATCAAAATATGTTATCCTAATTTATATACAAGAGCATAACATCCTTTGAGGCACATAATTTTTCTTCTGTAGTTCTTTTGAACTCCCTTCTATACAATTTTTCTTACTGCCAGCATATCTTTGTTTTCCTTTCCATTTCTTTTCCAAAACATGTATATCATTAAACATCGTTGCATTGATCCTGCAGCATTAATCTCGGTAAATACATTCCTGGCTTCAAAATGAACAGGATCAGGCCCTGCTTCTCGTAGCCTGTCATTCTGTGCCCTGATATTGCAAGTTACTAGGTATGTCCAGCACTTCTCATACATACGTAGCCCCACAGGCTGGTGGAATAAAAGATGGGCAAGCTTGCAGAATTTTAGATTTGGAAGATCTGCTTGAGTACTCACTGCATATCTTATTGTTAGAATTTTAATCAGATATAAGGAAACCTAATCATGCTTTCTGTAGGGAATGCTTACATCCCTATGCTTGCGTACACGAGTAAAGTTACTTACACATGCATTGGTAAGATCTGGTGATAACCACCATACATAGGTTCTGCAGCTGAACCATTAGAAAACAATCTTTGTGCTAAATACTCAACTTCAAAATTATACGTATCCCTGGTTTTTTTTTTTTAAATATGCATAGAGCTTTTTGCTTGTTCATCTGTTTTCTTTCTTTTGCTTATAAACCCTTGTAGGATTTTCATCATATCTAGAGTAGTAATGGAAAGAAAGACTATTTCCGAGCACTGACTTTTTACTCCCGCTTATGTTTCTAATGCACTAGATAGCAGTGTGTAATGTAACTGCTGTTTATATCTGTCCTTATGCAACAGCATTATTGATAATGTCAGAACTTGTCGAGCTCGGAGAGGAATTGTATTTTAAGTGGTACAGGATAGGTTTTCCACACTGGGTTTTTAGATAGATTTCTGTCTTTAATATAGATAGAAATAAATAGATCATGGTTCTGTAAATGGGTCTTTCAGGCTTTTTAAAAACAGAAGTGATGAAATCTTGGAGTAGCAGAAATAGGAAGTAATAGATCTCTCATACTGTGAGAACTCTGGCAAATACTCTGGCCTTGTAGAAATCAGCTGAAATTGGGATTCACTTGTGAATTTCACAGTGAAACCAGTATTTTACCTGCTGCATAAACCTCTGAAAAGGAGTACTCGTACCCAGATTTTATCTCCATGTCTAAGTCTTGTATAGGCAAGAACAGGGTTTAGGGCAAGGAGGAAGCTGTATGAATCACATGTAAAGCATGTGGCCTGACATGTGCATTAAAAAAACACCTGGGTATTTGCATGTATGGGTTGCATTATTTTCTTAATTGCCTGAGCATGAGGAAGAGCTGCAGTTGCACTCCGTGTTCCCCCTCTTCCACTGCAGAGTGAGTTTGGTGCATGTAAAAAACATGGCAATAACCTTGAGTTGAGTCTTTGACACACCGTATGCTGCCCAGTGACATAAACGTGCCTCAGCTTGACTCGGAGGCATCTCAGGGTGACAGTTCCCAGACCAGAGGGTCGCCCATCAGTGGAGGCTATGTGGCGGAGGCCACATTTGCCATCTTTTATTTGGAAGCCTTCTGGCTGCAGAGCCCAGACGACCAATGGGTCACATATTCAGAGATGGTAACAACTTTCAGACTTACCAGCCTGCTCCCCTTAATACAGGATTAAATGCCCCATGTCCCAAGACATCCAGCTGTTGCTTTCCCTTGCAATGGGAATACACAATACACAACGAGAAATACATAGGCCAATTATTTATTTTAAATCACATTAGGAAGAAGTGAATAGAATCTTGCTTCTTTATGGATAGCAATTCATGTGTCAGAAGGACAGCTTCTTGAACTGGCTAAAAATCATTTGAATTTTCCTCTGTTCTGTGGCTAGCAAATGAAATACTGCATGTAAAGATGATTTGGAGTTAGATGGGTAATTTAATGAGGGACCAGCTGCTACAATATTCAGTGTTGAACATTTTATTCTTTTTTTCCCTTTGCCAGTCAAAATGAATTTTCAGCTGATAAATGTTGCACGATTTCTATTTCTCAGATCAGTTAATTATTTTTAAGTGTTATCTTCTGTTCCTAGTCAGCTCTGATACTTTGTTGCTGTTGTGGTTGCTAAATATGGACTGGATTCTTCAAGATTTGACCCTACAGATTCACATTCGGAGAATGTAAAATAGAGCTTAACGATTTAAAAAAAAAGATCAGTACAGGTAAATTTCTTTAATTCACTGTAAGTGATGATATAACCATGGCTCCTGTCCCAAACATGCTTGGGTTTGGTTGGGCCCCTAAGGATGGGAATCCTGACAAAGCACATCTTTCAAATAAAACCCAAAAAACTCTTTCAACAGTGACAGCTCATTTCTCTTCAAACTGATCACACTAAGGATCTAATTCAGGATTTAATGATACGAAACAACTATAAAAATTCAGTATACTCAGAGATAAATGAGTTACATTTAAATTTTAGTGTGTGCAGCTTCCTCTACTTTCCAGACATTATTTGCTCAGTCCTATAAGCTGCTGTTCATGCCAGTTGTCCTGCTCGAACTTTGATGAAACCACTCACATAAGGTCATTTTTTTGGTAGGATTTCACCCTGATCTGGGTGAAACACATAATTTATCTGAGGTGTGACATTATTTGGCAGATCTGTAAACTGAGTAAATAGAGCAAAACACAGAGGGTCTGATGAAATTACCAAAATGATGTTTCAACCTGAAAAACAAGAAAAAAGTCCTTATCTAAAATACTGCTTTGAGTGCATGCATGCAAAT